AGCAGCAGAAACGGAGTTTCCTGAGATCGATCAGCTGATTGGTTCCCAGAAGGCAGCTGGACTTCTTCTGCTTCTGCTAAAATCTTACCGAGTTTTCACTGGTTCTGTGGCTCGGTTCGGTTCCGATTACAAACATGTTGTCAGTGATCGATCATCAAGAAAACAGGAAGGAAAGTTCCAGGAGAAAATCCACGGAGAAAGACCGATTGATCACATCTGATCAGCTGATGACTCTTCTGATCATCACCAATCAGAGCTGATCAATAATCAAAGTGCTGTGTGTTTCAGAGGAACCTGGTGGAGGAGAAGGGAGTTGGACCGTGGCTGCTGGCGCTCTTCATCTTCGTGGTCTGTGGATCAGGTGAGTCTTCCTCAATCAGTATTGATCTCCTTTAATTGAACATAACTGCTATGAGCCAATCAGAGGATGAAAACCTGCAGCAATATGGAGATAATTCTAAACTTTATCAATAAATTTAATAAAACTCTAAAGCAGGATGTCCACAGTGCGGCGCAGGGCCATTGTTAGATATAACAAAAAGTATAAATTTATCTTTAATAATAAAGTTTCATTTTTCTGTTTAGCTTCATTGTAAATGTCACATCCTCCCTTTTAATCTGCTTTTAACTTCATTAACCTAATAAATCAGGTTTTTATTGCTGGGAAACTTTATAAATAAATTAGTAAACCTGTTTCCTTTCTTTAAATTAAAAAATATTGAAATCCTCCTGAAGATTTGGATCTACAACGATTTCCACATTCCTACTAAAAGATCAAACTTTTTATAAATATTTTATATTCATTTTATTGTTGAGCAGGAAGAGAAATTCTCAAAACTTTATGCAAGTTTAGTTAACATTTTATTACATTTTACATATTATATGTTTTTACTTTACATATTTTCACAGAAGTTTGTTTTCTACAGCTATTTTAAAGATAAATTGTATTTTTATTTATTTTTTTACTTCATTTGATTATTTCTTGCATATTTTTACAGATTAAATATCTGTTTCCTTATCTGAAAAATATTGGGGGTTTTTTATCAGTCACAGCTCATACTTTTATTTAGGAAAGGAAACAAAATGAACTAATACAATATGAAATTAAATGCATGTCAAGTTGTTTTTTCCACAAATTTCTGCAAAGTATGTAAAAATGAGTTAAAATAACTTTGATCTAAATGTGTTTTTTCCTGTTTTCTTTAGAAACAATGATTCATGTTTATATTTATTCATTCAGATTAATTTCAGTTGATGAGATCACAGCAGATTTTACCAGCGGGGGTCAAACGTGCCCTTTGACCTTTCACAGTAAATGTTGCAGCGCTCTGATGTCGCTCCAACCTTTGGAGAGAAAGGACAGATAAGAAACACCTGTCTGCCAGGTGTGTGTTTATCTGAGCATGCTCAGTCGGACGCAGAGCGGTTATTGATCAGAGGTCTCACTCTGATCAGAGTCCAGCTGGCTGCTGTTTATCCAGTCTGACGGTTTTCACAGGAATAAAACCAGACAACACACACTGAGCTGATGAAAGCATACAAAATAAAACATACAAAAATAATAAACAAAATCAAGTTGGATAATTGAAAAACAAAATTCAAATCATGTAAATATAATTTGCATATATTTGAGCAAATAAAACAAATTTAAACCATGTAGTAAAAGTTGTTCTATTTCCCTGCAGCCATCTTTCAGATCATCCAGAGCATCAGGATGGGCATGTAGGGTGACGTCACCAGCAGAGGGCGGGGCCTGAACTGAGAAAGCATGACATCAAACATTCCTGAACTTTGACCTCACACAGAAGCCCCGCCGCATTCTCAATCTAGCCCCGCCCCTTCCGCATTAGCCCCGCCCCCAGATATCGACCCGTCGTGCCGCTGCGCTCCACCTCGTGCCTTCCTCTGTTTACCTGGACGTAGCTCCGCCCCCTCTGGATGCGCCTCATCAGCCTGACGGCGGACGGAGGGTGGGCGGGGTTAAAGTCCAGATCCAATCTGTCTCCTCCTCGCGGACCTGACAGGAAGTGACCTTTTGAATCAGAAGGTGTAAAGGTGCCGACAGGTGAGGCTGCACCGTGTGCAGCTGCACCTGAACATTCCTGATCCACCAATAAAGTTTCACTCTGAACATCAGCGCTGCCTCTGTGTTTCCTGGTCCCGATTCTGGAGCCAAGCAGTTGGTCTTTGTTTCAGTTTGATAGTTTAACTATCAATTTTCATATAAAAAAGAAACAACTGATGAAGATGGAGTTATAAATCCTGCTACAGGTGCTGAATTCTTCCAGCAGGTGGCGTCGTTTGCCCAATGATTCAACTGAAGGACCGCGGAGCAGTGGGATGTTTTAGGGGCATTGTAGATTTAAAAACAAAAAACAAGTAAATTTTCACCAAAAACAAAACGGAAATTTTTGAGCTTGAGAAGTCAAACTTTCATGTGAAAAACAAAAACTGACTTTTTGAGATTATGCTCAGGTCTAGAAAAAACTTGAAAATGTATGAGATCCAAAAGTCAAAAACTTAAACTTTGGGGGGAAAATCCAGAAAATTATTTTCTAGAAAATGTCTGGAACTTTTAGATGATTTATTTATTTTTTCTGTCTACAGTGGCCCTAATAAGCTGTAATAGAGTAACTCAAAACCTTGTCTCCCATCTTCCTCCTCTTGTAGAACTGATTCCTGTTTAACTTTTTGTTACTAAAATGATTTTTCCATGTTAGTCAAATTTTTCTTGTGTTTAATTCAATTCAAAAATACTGTCAAAGGGAAATTTGATGCTGTAAGTCATATTAGGTTCTTGAAAGAGTTGTAGATGCTGATGGGCAGGAAGAATCTCCTGTAGCAGTCTGTTATAGCGACTTTAAAGAAGCCGCTGACTGAAGACACTGTGGTTGAAGAGGATGCTAAGTGTTGTCTGTAATATTCTTGATTTTATGTAAAACTCCTCTTTAAACCATAACCTTTATCAGGTTGTTGAGACTTTTTAACTGGTTCTGATGCTGCTGCCCCAAAAGATGACAGCAGAAAAGATTCTCTCACAAACAGACTATAGAAAATCTGCAGCATCTAAATGGGCAACCAAAAAAGTGAACTCTGGTCTATGTACAAACCTCAATATGGGTTCAGATGAAGTGAACTCTGGTTTGGTTTGAATGTGAACGGCAAGCGGACCAGAGACCGCTCCAAAAGCAGGAAGTGAACTACAACACAGTGCATTCTGGGTAAATCTAAACAAAGCAAACGTGCTAGCCTAGCACTAGTGGGGGAAATGGCTTGTGGTCTTTAGGCAAAGACTAAAGAAAATCTTCCAACGGCTAAAATCTGTCGCTGAATAGCAAAAATATTCTACTAATGTCAAAAAAACACAATTTCTCAATTGTGTTTCCATTAAATAAACACAATTAAAATCACACTTGAATAAGTTTAATAAGTAAATAAAAAACATGCTGCACATCATCCTCCTACTACTTCCGGTCGTTTTCTTCTCTGTTCCGCCAGTGGGAACATCCGGTTGTTGATCATGTGACTGGTCTGATGCAAAAAAATGTATCCACTGCAGTTTTGCAAAATTAACTCACTTCATCATAGTTCCAACACTTTTTATTAAACCTTTTTTTTCTGAAATTGCCGTATTTCCATTAAGTGAATTTAATTTCGAAATGTCAAATTTCGACTATGTGGTTCATGGAAACGCAGCTACTGTTGCGTCTGCAGTCCAGTCTGTTCAGATGAACACCAAGACATGTATAATCCTCTTCTTCTCCCATGATGGAAATAGTTTGACCTGAACCCGTTTCTCTTAAAAACCTTCAATGATCTCCTTTGTTTTGTTTTTAACCCTGGATTTATCCTGTCTTTATCTCATGTTTGGCCCCATTCTGTCCTCTTAGCCCTGTAATCATCCCAGTCTTGTATGTTTTGGTGCTTAATCCCAGTTTTATCCCATGTTCCGTGTGTCCATCCCATGTTAATCTCTGTACCGTGTCGGTTGTTTAACCCCATTCTTTTGTTTTTGTCGCATGTAACTCGCTGTCTGTCCCATGTTTAACCCAGTCCAGCTCTGACCCACATCTCCTGCCGGTCCCTCCGTCTTCCCACCAGACTCTCTTTGTTCTCCGGCTTTTGTTCCCGACGATCGGCGAGTCGACAGCTGGACCTTCATTCAGGAAGCTGGAAACAACAGGCGGCTCAGACGGAGACGTCCTGCAGCTGAAGCAGGCAGCATGGTCGTCATGGTGACGATCAGGCCTTTAATCGATGTATTCAGATTATAACTTGTTAAACAGACATAAAGGGATGCCCTCTGTATTTTCTCTGAGTGTTGTCATTTAACTGTTACAACCATTTAAACAGAAACATATTTATTTTCTAGCTCTGGCTACGAACGCTAATGCTACTCTTAGCATCTTTACCCTCATCGTAAACTTGGCTCAGAAAACCAACAAAAAACGTTTGTGCAGTGAAGCTAACATGCTAATGCACTTCAACACAAAATTAACCAGAATAAGTAAACATATAACAAAAAGAAGTAAACAGTTCTTAATAATGTCAGGGTCTTGTCGCTAACGTCAAACTTAGCATTGGTAAACAAAAGTTACTAGTGGCTAATGCAGTCATAGCTAACTTTTAATTTTGTCTAGTAAATGTTGCTAGCACTACCGTGGCAGCATACAGCTTTGTAATGCGCTTTTCAGCTTCAGATAATAACAAATAGCTATAGCCTTAGTCTAAACTAAAGAAAAACGCATCGCCAATAGATTAGTTCATTTCCGCCTAAAAACTCAGATGATATCCCAGTTTTTTTTCTTTTAAATACATTAACCTCAAAATGTTTTTGGCAGAAATGTATTCCTCCCTGGGTATTATTTTTCTCTCTTATAGCTACAAGGTGCCTTCTGCTATAAATAAAAGTAGAAAAATGAGCTGGATAGCCACTGACATCTGTTAGCTCTCAAATATTTCATAACTTTTCCAGACTATTAAATCAGAATATAGTCTCCTTTGATTGACATCTTTTATTTCCACTTGAGAAATCTGAGACCTAAACTCATCCAATAACAAGAGAAGCTGGAACTTTGTGAGACAGTAAATATTTCTCAGGTGGATAGGAAAGAATAAGTTCCTGCAACTGGAAGCCAACAATGTTTATTTCAGCTGCTCTACATATCAAAAAGTTTATATCATTACAATCTTAGGAACTAGAATTTAGTTATCTGGTAGATGTTGGCTGTGGGAGTTTAAAGCTGCAGTGTATAACTTTTATTAAAAAAAAATAGAGACTTTTACATATTTGTTGAAGCTGTCACCAGACAGTATGGAGTTCCTCTGCTTTCTCCCACTGCTAACCAGAAACAACCAATCAGAGTGGCTCTTAGTGCTAAGATGCGCACAAAGGAGGCGGGGTTTAGCACTGTCGATCAATTTTTTTCCACAGACTATGAATCATAGCAAACAGTCACAACATGGTGACAGTTTCAACAAATATTCTTTCTAAAAGTTCTATACTGCGACTTCAAGGACCCCCGTAGAAATACTCTGTATGACAGAAATAAATTCAGCCAATCAGATGGACCGCCAGTTGAAATCAGAAATGAATATCCGGGCTAACTGTGGGTGGAGTTTGTAGGACCGTGGTGAGATCTTCCAGGGGTTGATTAGGAACCCAAACCAGGTTCTCTGAAGGGTTCTTCTGATGGTGCCGATAGAGACCCACCCTGACCTGGATAAGCTTTGGGTTTGAAGGTTCGACATTGTGCCAGTTCTGTACAGTCGAGTCATTGATACCAAGTAGAGAATACCAGATCAGGTGTGAAGACAATGATTCTATTTCCTGTCCGCCTGTCCGGACCAAGGCTGAGACACAGAAAAACTCCACAGATAAAGCTGATATAATAGAAACCTCTTATGTTCTGGCAATGTGATCCAGTCTGAGACTGTTGAGCCATGTTTGATGCCCAGGTACAATGATGTCCGGATTTCATAAGTAGAATCACTGTTGGAAGGTGCAAGTGATGTGGAGAGAGGTCAAAGAGCATCTCATGGGTCTGTGGTGTTCAAACAGGTCTATGTAGGCTGTAGAGAGCAGAACAAGGTCTTCACTCTGTCTGAAGGAGCCCAAGTGAGATGGTGACCCCCAAGGAGAGCAAACTCCAGTTAGACCACTGATTGATGGTTCAAGCTCTCCTAACTTGAACCTGACTCTGGCAAAGCATTGTGCAACTCATTGATGTCCCTGACTTCAGTACCAGTTCTGAGGAGATGAGGTAACGTTCTGCTCCATGTAAATGTCTGCCCATAAGACGGGTCCTTTGGGAATGTGGTGTCCCTACAAACTGATAGACTTTTCCTCAGGGTCGCTTCGCCCCATATGCCTCTGTGTCCCCTCGCTGTCCCTGTGTTGACGCCTGCAGACGTTCTCAGCTGTTGGACGGCTGCTCTGGTTTCAGCCGGATGGCCCAGGAGTTGGCGGACACGATGTCTCCACGCCGGTGAATCCGGCAGGTGTAGACGCCCTCGTTGAACTCATTTGCAACGATGCGAAGGTCTCTGTCCTTCATCACAATGTACCCAGGAATGGAGGTCAGGATCTGCTCACCGTCTTTGTACCAGCTGCAGAAAACAGAGGCAGAGGATGGTGGAAATGGTTTGAGAGCAGTTCTGCTGGGTCCGACCCAATCAGCTCATCAGTAAATCACTGTCTGTGCTCACCTGACTTTAGGGGGAGAACGGAGGCTTTTAGTGCCACAGCGGAAACCCACCACCTTCCCTCGAGGAACCATCTTGATCTTCACATTGGCAGGGGGGGACGTTGGCATGGCGACCACATCCAGGGGCTCTGCGGTGGGAATGAGATTCAGACAGGAAATATGTTTTCAAATCAGTTTCAAAGATCACGGAGAGTCATTCTACTAAAGAGTACTACAGAGATCCTCAGGGTCACCGTAGCAGAGGTCACAGCGCTGCGGACAGTTCTTCCTCATGAAGGTCTTCCTCCGTTCACAGAATCCGAGTCGAGCCCATGGATCACAGACCCTCTTCTTATCCTGGCATCCTACAGTCACAAACACAACATCCTTAGGAATGACTCTTCAACAGAGACCTGAGTGCAGCACATAGGAGGCAGAAACAACTTAAACTTCAGAGTAAACACAAGACAAGAGCAGCTCTGCTCTGGGTCGGTACCATAGAGCCTCTGGATCCCCCACACGTCGTCCTGAGCGATGTTTCTCTGCCCGGTGTACGTGGCGTTGGGATGCATCAGGGCATCCGGGTCTCTGGAGTGCCACAGCCCCAAAGCGTGACCGATCTCATGAGCCGCCACCTGAACCAGGTCGTTCAGCCAGACGCCTGCAGATCCAGAGTCAGAGGTCCAACACTGGTTCTGGATCAGTCGGCCGGCTGGGGTTCTAAAGGGAGCCGTCTGTGCTCATCAATCACAAGATTTTAGTAGAGCTGTATGAACGTATCTGAGTCTGTGTGTATTCCCACAGCAGTAAACCGGTTTGAAGACAGATTTCAGAGCTCATCAGAGAGCTGACTGCGACAGACTGGCGACATGTTCAGGGTGACCCCGCCTCCCGCCTGAAACATGGAGATGGGCACCCAACCCCGCTAGGGAGAATGGTGTTAGAAAATGATGGATGGATGGATGGATGGATGGATGGATGGATGGATGGATGGATGGATGGATGGATGGATGGATGGATCAGAGAGCTGAAACAGAGCAGGAGATCAGTGTTTGATCTACGAGGGACACCTGATGGACAGGAGGGGTAATGCAGCCTGTGAGGTAAAGCTGTTGCTGTAGTTTCCTGCATCTCTCCAATAAGAAGATAGTTAACAGATTTTAACTGCAGAATTAGAAGGAGGTGGACAATCCTGTTTATTTAAACTGGGGGCCATGATGTGATGTCCTCTTTTCAATTTTACCCAGATTGTGATTTTGCTGTTTATTAAGATAGTTCTTAAAATAAGCTTATTGAAAGCAAGACACATCCATTAGACTTTCTTGTTGAATTTTACTTTTCAGATTGATTTTTATCTCCTATTCTGATCTACTGGTCAGTTACTTGTGGAGTTCCTCAGGGATGTGTGCTGGAGTCCATGTTTTGGTTTTTAATTTGATCCTTTTAGTGTTGGTAGTGCTGAGGTGTTACCTTGTTTCCAGCTGAACCTGGACTTCCCGAGGATCCAGAACTCGTGGTTGTCGAAGTGGATCTCTCCTCGAGGCGGCAGGAAGGCGTGAGCCAGCTCCCCATTCAGGCCGTCGAAGCACGGATGGAGAGGAGACCACCAGCAGTCAGTGTGGTTGAAGGTGTAGAAACCTAACGCACCAAAGATCAGAGGAATTAAATCCACGAACGTTTGTATTATTATTCAACCTTAGTGTCTCAGTGGAAACTAAATTCAGCTTGGAGGTAGAAAGCCTTAAAGGTTTGGTGCAGTAATAGTTGTGTTTGTTTTTTTCATTGCAGTTTAGTTTAAGTTTGTCGTGACTTTTTGATTGTCTGCTTCAGTTTGTTTAAATTAGGTTTTAGAGAGTATTTGCTAGTTTCTAATAGTTCGATGTTGCTTAGTTTTAGTTAAGTTTTTATTAGTTATTGTAGTAGCTTTAGTTATTTTAAAGAGCTAAAAGGAATATGATTATGTTTTCATCGTTTGGGGAATGATTAGCTACTCAACAGAAGACACAATTTTCTAAAATTGTATTTTATTATTGTTGAACAATCAACTGACTGGTGTTTTATCCCAACTTTTGCTGTCGCCATTTTGCGGATAATGGCTACAGAGAGCCGGCAGCTGACGTAAGCTGCTTCTGAGGGGGAAAAACTAAATTTCGCATCAGTTTAAAGACTATAAATTGATTAACAAAGACTAAAACTAAATATATTTTGTCTATAATTTCAGTATGTTTTAGTTAGTTTTATAAGTGTACGACAGTTCCAGTTAATTATAGTTTTTCCACATTAATTCCCGTTTTTCTTCATTTCAGTTAATGAAAATGTTTTCTCAGTGTCAGTTTTTGTTATTTTGGTAGTTTTGGTTAACTATAATAACCGTGGTAGTTTGTTGTGATCCTTCCTTTGTGACGTACCGATGGTGATGTCAGCGGTGGCGCTGCCGTTGGTGACCTCGGTGAAGGTCAGCGGCGACACGTCGCTCCACTTGGTGAAGGCGATGCTGATGGCCTTCCGGGTGTCCTCCTTGTTCAGCGTGTTGGGGAACTTTATGATCCTGGACGATGAAGAGGCGGCAGGTCAGCGGGCTTGTTTTGCCCTGAGCATCGCCTGGCAGGCTGCTTGAAGCTCCGCCTCTTTTAACAGGCTCACGGTCTGCTTCCTGCTCACCTGTTCAGGTGTGTCTGGACGGACCCACCTGTATGTGATGTTGTGGTGAGTCCACTTGTGTCCCAGCGGGTTGATGGCGTAGCGTCTGGTTCTGATTCCTCGGTCTGAGATCGTCTCCTTCATCATGCTGCTGCCAGATATCTGTCAATAAAACGTCAACATTCAATCAGCTGCATGAGGAACGGAGCTGAGGTTCCTCTGGCGTCCACCAGGGGGAGCTACTGATGCACCCTGAAGCAGAATAAACAAATAAACCAACTAAGTTTCAGAGTGTCACAGCCAGAAGAAAGTCATAACATCAGCAGAAAAAGGTGCAGATTTCAAGAAAATAACGTTGTTTTAATGAGATAAAAGCTTTGACAGATTTATCTAGATCTGATCTGATCCAGGCTGGTCCATATGGTTCTTTATTCAAAATAAAAAAGTCCTTTGTTAAAACATTTAAATCCTGCTGCTGATTATAATTTGATGCAAAAAATAAAATATTTTCTGCCTGGTAAAACTTCACAAACGTTCAACATTACTCATTTCACTTTTTAATTATTTTTCGTGAAGAAGTTCGTATAAAATTACTTATTTATTCTCATATTATTGTGACTTTATTCTAGATTTATCATATTATTACAATTTTATTCTCGTAATTTAACAAACCTACCTTGGGCCGACCATATAAAATTCTAATATAAGTTTGGGTCAGAACTCAGTTCTGGTGTTTGGTTTGGGTCACAACTCGGTTCTGGTGTTTGGTTTTGGACTTCAGCTCAGTCTCGGGTCAGAACTGGGTCACTCTACACAGATGTAGAAACTTTTCTTCATGCTTTGTTGGTGTCTGTCTCCCACATGTGGGCCGAGCTCAGAACCGCCTCTGTTCTGTTCTTTGGACCTGACCAGAACAGCAGCAGCACCTGTTGGAGCCGACACCAGAACCAGAACAAACGGGCCCAGTGTCTGACACATCAGACGGCTCAGATTACAAACCAGAACCATCTGATCCGACCCCGCCTCCCTCCACATACCAGGGGTCGGGTCCAGGAGTCAGAACCCGGCCACCAGGACCGGAACACAACCAGAACCAGAACCTCACGGGAACCGGGCCTGACAAATCCAACAGGTTCTGATAATTGGAGCGGTTCTGGGTTCTGGACCCAGTGGGAGTGACAGGAAGCTGCAGCTGCCTGACAAACCAGAACGTCAGAGGAGAACTGGACCGGGCTGCACTGCAGCTGGTCGACCCAACTGGACCCAACCCAACCGGACAGGACCTCTGTTTGGGTCCAGAACCTAAGAACCTTCACACATCATGAATGTCCTGGTTCTGATTCTTGATGGATCTGGACCATTTACATTCAGAACCCGAAGAGAACCAGGTCAGAACCAGCAGGACAAACCTGCAGGGACACAAAGGTCCAAAAAGTTCAGAACCAGGCTGAGGGCCCCTGATGAAGAGGAGGGCCCCTCCTCTTCATCACACATTCACTCCTCAGAGGTCACTGACAGCTGATCCAGTAATCAAACCGAACCGAACAGAACCGGACCGGAGCAGAACTTCACTGACCTTCATCATCATCACCAGCAGCAGCAGGAGGAGCTTCATGGTGTCCCCTCTGCGCCGTCCTGCCCGTCCGGACCGAACTCCTGCTGCTCCGCTGCCGCTCCGGACCAACTGAGGGAAGTTCGCAGAGTGTGTGTGCGCTCGCTGCCGCAGGCGGGGCGGTCCGGGTGGGCGGGGTCAGGTGTGTGCGCGGTGTCCGCTTACTTTCCGCGGAGACATTTTAACCGTTTCAGCGCCTTACCCAAATGAACCTCGCCGAGAAAGAGGGAACCCGCTCCGATCTGGAGGACAAACAAGAGCGAGCCGACCCGCGGGCCCCCCGGGGCCGCCAGGGGCCCAGGTAGGGACGCCCTGAGGTGTTTTCGGCTCCAGATGTTTGGCACATCTGTGAAAACAGACGCTGGAAAACACGGAGTCCCACGGAGGAAAAAGTTCTGAACTTTTCATATCCAATGAGACAGACTGGGCCGCAGAAATGGTTCCATTCAGGTTCGGATTGTTGAACTGGATCAGAACCAGGAACCGACAGATGACTGAGAGAGAAATCTCAGTTTGTTTTGAGCTGAAAAAATAAAATGGAGAAAATGTGAAATAGTAATGCTGACCCGGTTCTGGTGGATTTGGACCCAGCTGATTGAACAGTGGTTCTGTTAAACACGATGCCAGGAGGGAAAGAGATCAGCAATGATGCTGGGAAGGGTTCAAAGGTCATGACCAAACTACCTGAATCCATTATTCTGCAGAACTGAAACTTCAGAGAAATGAGCAGAAATCCCGGCTGTGAAGCACGGCGGTGGCAGGCTGGTGATGTGGGATTGATCTGAAGCCGTCTGCTCCTCAGTTGCAGCCAGACCCAAGCCAGGTCGTCAGCAGACTGATGGTTCCGAAGACACAGTGAGTCTACAACAGGATGTTTGACGAAGGCGTTACAGTGGCTTAGTCAAAGCCCAGAGCTCAGCCTGGTTGAAATCCTCCGACCTTTAGAAAAACAATATGAGATGAATGGAAATCTCAGCTGGAGGTTCTGTTGGGCCACGACGACCAGAACGGGTCGCTGGGTTCCATTCTGATTCAGTCACAGTTTGAATTTAGCCCCGCCTTCATCCTGCCGTCTGATTGGCTGCTGGCTCATCCTGCCCTCTGATTGGCTGCTGGCTCAGCATGGCTCCTGCAGCTCTGCTGATGTTTTATTGTAAGTTAATCTGGAGCTGATAATGAGCAGCTCAGAGCCTCATCAGCAACTCATTACTGTCCTCATTGTTGCCATGGTTTCATTGTTATTGTTGTTATTATTGTTGTTATTGTTGTTTATCAGTGAAGGGCAGCTGGTGACCTTCATCCCCCTGCAGAGCGCAGCAGCAGCTGCATGTTAATGAGCTGCACTGGTCCACTGCAGCGATGCATCCTCACCTTCATCACCTTCATCCTTTACATCATCACTTCCATCGTCTTCATCAGTAACATCATCAACATCATCTTCATCATTTCTGTTGTCTCAGCATCCACGTCATCTTCGTTTACATCTTCATCATTTCCATCTTCATCTTCATAATTTATATCTTCATCATCATCATTACCATAATTAACATAACAACTATCATCTTTATTTTCATCATCACCATCATCGTCATCTTCATCCTTATTATTAGAATCACCACCTACTTATTGGCTTCATCATCACCATCTTCATCACCATCATGGAAATGATGATGATGATGGTGATGATGATGATGATGAAGATCAGTGCTGGTTGGCCCTGATGATCTCTAACTGTTACCTCCTGGTTCTGTTGTGTGAACCGGAGTTGGTTTGGTACCGATCCGTTGGTTCTGATTTGCCGTCTGGCTGACGGACAGAGCTCCCTGCGCGCGCCTCGGGCCCCCCAGGGGCCTCCTTCAGCATCACAGAGAGGAGGAGGAGGAGGAGACGGACCTTCAGCGGAGGCTGAGGGATGACGATTTAATTACACTTCTGTTCATTCATCTGTCCATCCACACACACACACACACACACACACACACACACACACACACACACACACACACACACACTGACGTCCACAGAAAAACTCTCACACTGACAGAAACAGTAAAAGTCACAGACTCTCTCTCTCTCTCCTCCCGCCGGGTTCCCACAGACACCTCCCCCTCCTCTTCCTCCTCCTCTTCGTCTCTGAATGGAAACTTGCTGTCTGTTTACAGGCTGGTGGTCGTCATAGAGACCAGCAGGTCAAACTGGACATTTCAACGATGTGACGTCTCACTCTGACTGTCACACGTTTGTGATAAAAGCCCCACACTCCAAAAGCCCCAAAAGGCTTACACATCTTTTGGGGCCGCACGGTGCTTTGGGGTCCCATAGGCCTCCATCAGACCCTCTGGGGCCCCACAAATCCAGTGAGGCCTCAGGACCCCACTTTTGAGAAATAGAAAATCTTCTTTATCAGTCAGGTTTAACATTGCCATCCAGGAAAAGCATATTAAGCTGTGAGGAGGACACTGGGTCAGACTACTAGTACAAACTTTCACAATAAAAATCAAAAAATATATTTAAAAAGTTCTTTTGAGGAACATCTAAAATCTGATCTATGGCGCCACCCAGTGGACAGATCAGGATAAAACGACCTTTATAACTGACATGAATAAAAAGGAGTAACAGGAAACAAAAAGAAATGAGCCGACAACTGACGAAATGAATGTAGAACCATCACGTTCACTGGCCAATACGAGTAAGCGTTGGTGGTATAGTGGTTAGCATAGCTGCCTTCCAAGCAGTTGACCCGGGTTCGATTCCCGGCCAACGCAATTCTCCATTTTGCCGTAATTTTTTCTTCTATGTCTCCCAAAAACCGGTTTTCTCTTTTAAACTGCTGATAGATGATGATATAAAGTATTTCCCACTTTGACAGTCCTCGATAGGGTTGAAAACAAGACCTTAGCAAGATTTCTGAATGATGCTGAAACAACTGCGGTAAAGCTAACAACATTGTTTTGTCAACGGTAGTTTTATTGTAACCTTTTTTTTAACTCCTTGGCTGTCTCTTACTGTCCGCGAGGAGCACAGGAAGTACAGTTATGACGCTGTTATTGATCCCAGCATGCAGTCTGGGATCAATATCAGAAGAAAAAAGTGTATGATACAATGAAATACATTCAACAACACAAAAGACGGCTCAGGATCTAAAACAGTCCGTTATATACCAATGAACACCGCCCAGCCAGCAGGGGGCAGCAGTACATGTTACTAGCAGCGGAAGCAGTAGTGGAAGTGTGGCTGTGTTTGTGTGAAAAACTCAGCGCGGGTCTGGTGCTCCATCCGAACTATCCCTCGATTATCTACCGGTACCAGGACTCAGCCGCTTCTACCAGGACTCACCGGGACTCTCCTCCGGCGGTGCTTCCATCATGGCGGCCGGAGGTAGTTCGGTTCCTCCGCAGCTCGGAGACGTAGAAGAAGACGCTTCTCAGCTTCTGTTTCCTAAAGGTGACAAAGCTCAACACCACACCTGAAGACCCGCTCTTGGACTGTGTTCGGTTGCCACGAGGCCGAACCTCAGTTGTTTATATTTGAGAACAACGGAATCGTTGTGGTCAGAGCAGTTCTGGTTCAGGTCAGATAACTCAGACAGCCTGGTTCTGTCAGACCATCCCATGGTAACAGGCTGTGCCTCCTGACCGGAGATCTGCTCTGTATCTGGTCTGTCACCATGGTTACGGTTTATCTGCATCAGTTCAGGGTTGATCAACAGATAAGAGCTGCTCCTTATGTAGGGGGTTAATCTGGTGTTCTGGGTCAGAACCGAGCAGCATGTGGCTTCAGAGCCACATGGGTCAGAACCAGAACCTCTCAGAGGAGTGGGAAGTTTCAGATTCCATCCTGGACCCGTGAGATAAATATAGGAGCCATTTGTAAAGCTAAACAGTCAGAAATTAACAGCAATAAATTGAGTTTATTTAGCCTGTCAGGAAAAGATTTTAGCTCAGTTTTCAAAGTCATGTTTTCACCATGTTTGAGCTAAATATTTAATTTACAAACTATATTTAAATCCAAACTAGATATTTAGCTTACCCGCTAAATCATTAGTTAGCTAGCTGAATAAGCTAATTGTTTAATTACTAAAGTAAATATTAACTTCACAAATTACATATTTAGTTTGTACAGTAAACATTTATTTCACGAACTAAATGAAATATTGAGTTCGAAGCTTAAATATTTAGGTTGGAGCAAAATATTTCTAGCTTATTTAGCTAACTAAATATTTAACTAAATACTTACTCTTAATCTAAAAGTTTAGTCTGCTAATTAAACATTTTCATTGAAACTGGCATTTTTAAATGAATGAATAACACGGTGAAAATGTTACTTTGAAACATTAACTCCCAGTGTTTTTTTATAACTAAATAATCCAAATTATTGTTTATGTAACTTTACAGGCATCACTCTGTAGATAAACCTAACAGTTATCAGACTTGAAGGTTAATGTTTTGTTGGATGAGGCCGGGTTGGGCCCATCAGAACCAGTGGTGACGGTGTGGAGGTTCTGACGGTGCCATTGGTTCTGCAGAGTTCGAGAACGCGGAGACGCTGCTGAACTCGGAGGTCCACATGCTGCTGGAGCACCGGAAGCAGCAGAACGAGAGCGCCGAGGACGAGCAGGAGCTGTCCGAGGTCTTCATGAAGACGCTCAACTACACGGCCCGCTTCAGCCGCTTCAAGAACCGCGAGACCATCACCGCCGTGCGCAGGTCCTGCAGCTCAACCTGACCCACTTCTGTCTGCCAGCCGGATCAGGTTCTGACCTGGTTCTGTCTGTCTCCACAGCCTCCTCCTGCAGAAGAAGCTCCATAAGTTCGAGCTGGCCAGTTTGGCCAATCTTTGTCCAGAAGCCGCCGAAGAGGCCAAGGCTCTGATCCCCAGGTGAGTTGGTACCGACCAAGCCCAGTCGGATCAGAACCAGGCACATCCTAGCCTGGTTTTCTTCACAGAACATGTTGGTGTTGGGCACGTTTTGGTGGTTCTAACAGCAGAACGTTGATCAAGAACCAGATTTCAAAACAAGAGCATGAACATAAACGATAACTAAGACTTCAACACAGACGTCAAATTTTATTAAATTGAATGTTTGAAAAACAGCCAAGTAAATTAGGGCTTTAAAATTCATCTAGGAAAATTCATTTACAGAAAGCTAAGCACGCTTATCGTCTTCAAAGTTAGCAAAATAAACAATTTTTCCTGGAAAAATTCTAATTTGCTAAGCTAAAACAAATTTCGCTAGTAATAGTGCTAATTTTTAGCTTAGCGCCAGCGCCGTTGACCCGGTTCTTTTACCTGAATGAACAGCAGTTGGTTCTGGTTTAATCACAAGCAGCATTAAATCTGTGACTGTAAGTCCAAATGGTTCCGTCTGCAGCAGTCGCTTCTACCAGAGGACGGACGCGGACCCTGCTGGTTCTGGACGTGTTTCTGGTTAAACACGCCTGAACGGTCCATGAACCGGGTCAGGTTCTGAAGTAACCCAGCTGCTGACATTTCTGAAATCTGCAGGGCTAGAACAGGACCACTGCTGTTTACGTTTACAGAGATCCCAGCCAGATCAGAACCGGTTCTGTTTATCCAACATGACTTTATTTCTGTGTTATTTAAGGTTCTGTTGGTTCTGGTTTCAGTTTGGAGGGTCGGTTTGAGGATGAGGAGCTGCAGCAGATCCTGGACGATATCCAGACCAAGAGGAGCTTCCAGTACTGACCCACTGATCTGACCCGGTGCCATCTGGACCTTCCAGTACCGATCCAATCTGATGCTATCTGATCTTTGTGTGTGCCGTATAAATAAAACTTTCTTTCTTTTTTTTTACCATGTTCGTGTTTTCTTGTCTCTGTCTGGTTCTGGTACCTTGTGTTTGGGTCAGAGGTTCACACAGTACTCGGCTCCGTCCGGGTTCTGCAGGGCCTCAGGCAGAACCCCGGCTGCCGTCCCCACCATTCTTACTGTGTTCTGACCCGACAGCTCCCTCTCGTACTCCATGAGCTGCCTCCAAAACCCGGCGTTGGGTCGGATAAACGGCCGGCACTCCAGAACCAGTTCGTGGGCCTGACGGAGGCTGAGGCCTTCAGATCTGGATGTAGAACAGAACCGACATGTTGGTTCTGTAGAACTTTACAGGAAATCCCTGATAAGAACAGTTGCGTAGAGTTCTGATCCCAACCGACCCGGGAAATGTTACGGTTCAGTTTTGGGGGAAGCTAAGTGCGCTAAACGCCTTAAAAGTTAGCAAAAATGCTACAGCGTCTCATCTTCTCATTACATTCTTCCAGGCAAATTGTACATTGCTAAGATAAAAATAAGCTTTGCTAACATAATGGAGCTAATGTTTACCTTAGCGCTTTAGAATTTATCTTCAAAAATTAATTTAGGTGAAGATAAGTACACTAAACTTATTCAAAGTTAGCAAAAACACGTCCAGGGTCTTGGCTTCTGGTAGTTCTGGTTGTGTTAGCAGAACCAACCCAAACCCAGAGCCGTTACCTCATCAGATAAGCCATGACCAGCGCTGCGGAGCGGCTCCGACCCGCCGTGCAGTGGACCAGAGTGGACCCAGCCTGGTTCTGCTGGATCCGCTCCGTTACCGGGTCAAAGTACTGACCCAGCTGAGCATGGGGCCGGTCCTGGACTGGGATGTGGAGGATCTGCAGGCCATCGGCCACTGGGTAGGGCAGGTCTGGTAGCCCACTGGCGTTGACGATGAGCGAGACGTTCCTGCTGGTCAACACGGCCGCGTTCAGCGCCGAGTCCAGATCGCCCAGGTAGAGCCGGGCCGAAACCTGGGAGACCCGCATGCCAGTCCGAATGTTTCCTGGAGCAGGAGGTTCAGAGTGAACAGCAGCTGCTACAGCGTCACCATGTGGACGGATGTTTATCAGAACTTCGTGTGTTCAGATCAGATTAGATCCTTGTTCTGTTAAGGTTCTGAGTGGTCCAATCTAGATGTGACCAAACAAACATCTCTGAACAACTCTTGACCTAAAAGTACTGGACCTGAGTGGAGTTACTGACCTTCCCTCCATCCAGGACCTCTAAAGGTCTAGAGACATGAAAATGGATGCTAACATCTCTGCAGATCCCACACATGCTGGACATGAATGGTTTAGACCAGGGGTGTCAAACGTACGGCCCGCGGGCCGGAACCGGCCCGCCGAACGATTTAGTCCGGCCCGGGGGCTAAATGCATTATCATTATTCATGAAAAAACATATACTTCGTTTAATTGAAAATCTGCAGTTCCTATACTGTCCACGAGGGGCGCTGTGTTTTATTCAGAGCACACAACATGATGCAACACTGCAGCGGAACTAACAGCAGATGGCAGCACTGAGCTTCAGGTTCTGTAAACAAGTTCGATTCTATGCTTTACCAGCTTTTTATTTTGGCCCTGGCAACCTCATATTTCTCGTGCATGCTAACATACATACATGTTATGTATGCAAGTTTTTCTATATGTATGCATTTTATGCATCAACAAATGTCTGTTTAAAACAGACATTTGATCAAATGTCTGTTTAAAACAGCTGACACTTAAGATTTCAAATGTGTGAAGTCAGATAATTTGTTCAAATTGCTTCCCAGATATTGAAACTTGATTTTAAATCTTTTCTTAATTTCTGTCTGTTGTATTTTGTGATGCAGGTCAGTGTTTTTAAGGTCCAAAAACTGTGAATAAATGTTTTGCAACATTGTACAATCACTGAGGTCAATTCTTATGCATAATGCACTTAAATAAATGCTTAACTGAGTAAAAGAATTGAAATGGCAGATACCTTTCTTAAAAACTGAGATTATTCATAATATACTTTGTAAAAGTGAAATTCGTTTAATACTTTTATTGGTTCTATTTAATCTTGCAATGAGTTTACTTGTGTGGCCCCCTGCAGATCAGATTAAGCTGTATGCGGCCCCTAAACCAAAATTAGTTTGACACCCCTGGTTTAGACTTTTACCTTCAGATGCACACTACAGAGACAGCTTCTTCTGATGGACACAATGAGCACCTAAGACCACAAGGATCAAACTCCAGACCAAATTTGGCCCGCCATAACTTTATGAGGCCCTCTAGAATCTGGAGGGCCTCATAAATTGAACCTTAAGATAACAGTTGTGTGCTTAAATATTATTTTATCAGTCAAATCAAATCAATTGTCATTTGTATTGGACCAAATTACATCATGTGAAAAGAAAGTGGCAATCGAACACAGGGAAAGGTAATATTTGAACAGTTTTACCGGTTATTTTTATCAGTACATTCTGCCACAACTGGTTCTTTACGGACATTCATGATGTTGATGTGGCCGAAAACAAAATGCCATATTCCCTGTCTTACAGAAAAAGTTGTTGGCTACTGTTAAGAGAGGAAAAATTCTTGAGGTCATTTGAATCAAGACATGTTAAGTTTTAAAACTAGCTTATTTTAAATTTATTTTCTCAACACTACTCTGCTGTGGAACTAAATAAGCTTGACCACTGCTCTAACTTGTCTTTTTATTTTTTCTTATGTTAAAAAATTCCTACTCGTACTGTTTCTTATATCTATTGTTGTATTTCCTCTACAGTTTATATTTTACACTTAATGTCTTGAAACCGAAGTCCAATTCCTTGTTGGTGTACACGATCATGGCCAGTAAATTGATTTTGTATTCAAATCCCACTCAAAATTTCAATCACCTTTGGCACTGCTGGCTTTCCATACATGGCGACATATTAAGTGGCATCCATGTGATGTGGATTTATTTCCTGTTAAATTTAAATTAAATCAATCTCTGATCTTAAACAGTAAATTAAGATCAGATCTTCAGGTGAAAATGATAAAATGTTTCTGTCAGAAGTGGGATTCGAACCCACGCCTCCAGGGGAGACTGCGACCTGAACGCAGCGCCTTAGACCGCTCGGCCATCCTGACATCATGGTAACGCATATACAACCGGCAGCATTTAAACAACGTTAGCCTTTTACGGCGAGCCACCATTAATTCAGTTTTCTATTTTATGGAGCCGGTTGTCAAAGCGGATACGAAATTGCCTCTACGGCTCAATGTTCAAGTAAAAATCCCCATCTCGTAGCGAAAAAAGTTGGGTAGGAAAAGCTTCAACGTTACGAAAAGATCGGCTACCCCCCACCATTACTGGGTGAGTCAGGATCACGAGCTGGATCATGTTCGGACCTGTTCGTGGGTCTGGCTTTGTCGCACCCTAAATTTGGATCTTTTCGGACCGGTTTAGTTCCCCCTTGCGTCAGCTGCGTCAGTTTCGTTTTTCTTTCATCGTCGCTATTAAATAAAAGCAGCGGAAGAAGAAGAGTTTCGGTTCTGCCGTCGTACCGAAGGGAAGAGAACACCTTCGTCGGACTGAAACGGCTCCTGAACAGCTAAGACTTGTTCTCATTAACTCACCTGTTCAGGTAAAATTATGCTCCAACTAACAGTAACTCTCCTGAACTCGGACCTTAACGCTAAAAAGGCTTAAAACCAAAACACAAGCTAAAGCCTCGCGGGTTGTTTCGAGATTATTCGAGATTGCTGCACTAGACCAGACTACATTTAAAAAACTTCAAATTTACGTTTTTCATCCAGCACCGGATGTTAAGGGATATCTACATATAATCAATGTTTCCCCTTTTGACGTGTCTAACATGTTAGTTGAAAACAGGATGAGCCGTTTCAGCGGCTCCAGATGTTTACTCACGTCTCTATAGCAACAGTTTAAGCATCAACAGAAACTGTGGGTTGGTCGCTTCAAAATAAAAGCCTCTACCGAAGCATGGATCAGAACCAAACTCTCAGGTTGGGTAGACAATTTTTTAGTAAGTTTTTAAAGTGACTGACTCGTTCTGTTTGTTTTGGTTAAGTTTGGACTGCAGACACAATGAACCAAGCTGCTCCGAGCCAGCGACCCGTCATCCCGCAGGTCCGGTACCACCCATCCATTCAGATGGCAGGAAGTGGAACCACAGCCGGTGCTACTCGTCGTCCTCAGACCAGAATTCAACCTAAAATGGTCCAGAAGAACCAGAACTCCAACAGAACCGGTCCGGCTGGGGCGCACGGACCACCTGACAATGATCCAGGTCCAACTGCGGATCAAGCATCAAGCAAACAGGGTCAGAGCTCCAGACCAGGTGCTGCTCGCCACACTCAGGCCAGAACTGATCCCAGAGTGGTCCAGAAGAACCAGGACTCCAGCAGGACCGATCCATGTCTTAACGGAGGACCAGAACCCAAGAGGGATCTGGGTTCTGCTGAAGACAAAGCTCCTCCCACACCAGACCAGGTCCCGCTGGACCCAAGGGCCGAACTGGACCGAAACCTGCTACAGCAGGTGGAGGTTCTGACCCGCGGACAGAGCACCAACCAGGACTGGTTCCACTGGAGGAAGAACCGGATCACAGCCTCCGTGGCCCATCGCATCGCTCACTCCAGGTTTGTCAACGGCAAGAGCAAAGCTCCGCCCCTTTCGTACCTGGCTGCCATCACAGGTAAGCCCCGCCCACCAACACATGGACCCTACTGGTTCTGACGGTTTTAACCAGATCCGTCATGTTCATGAATCTGGTGGCTCCACAGGCGAGGGGCCAAAAGTCCGGACCAGAGCCATGAGCTGGGGCATCGAGAAGGAGGCCGAGGTCGTCTGCAGGTACCAGGTGAGTTAATGGACCCGGTCTGAAAGGTCCAACATCACCTGGACGCATTTAGGCAGACCTGTGATGACACTGTTGCAGTAATCAATGCCACTAAAGATAAACGCATGGATGAGTCTCTGTAGATCTTGCTGAGACTTTATAAATGTTCTTCAACTGATAGAAGGCCGACTTTGGAACCGTCTTTATGTGGCTCTGAAGGTTTGGGTCAGAGGTTAGCCTGATCTCTAGTTCCCTGCTGTAATACCTGAAGCTGTGTGCTGTTATTTATACCAGAAAAAATTGTAATATTCTAAAATTTCAACAAAAAAATTCCAGTAATACAAAATTCTATAAAATGTGAAGAATAATTTTAAAACGTCAAAGAATCTGATTTTTTTTTATTGTAACAAAATGAAATATTAAATCTAAACTATTTAAAGAGACAGTATTATGTCTATTTATAGCATAATCAAGTAACTGTGTTACCTTGAGTTGTTTTTAAAGTGCTGTATGAAACTGTCTGAGGCCTTGAAATTGGGCCTCTGTCTCTTTAAGAATTAAAGGATTACTCCAACATAACGAAAGAATCAAAGCAACAATCCAGGTATATTTTTGATGTAAAAATTAGAAAAACTACATTTTACATTGTACTGCGCCTTTAAATATCTTGGTAAAACAGACTTTGAGAACAGGGAGTGTGTGAAGTGTTTCCTGTTGTGTCCGGTAGACTCTGAAGTCGGCGGCGCTGGGCCAACCCGTCAGGGTTCTGGAGTGCGGCCTGTTCATCGACAGCCAGCGGCCCTGGCTGGCAGCCAGCCCTGACGGCATCGTGGTGGATGCGCGGAGCGGCCGCAGGCTGCTCTGTCTGGAGGTCAAATGTCCCTACAAACACCGGCACCGGAGCGTGGAGGACGCCTGCAGGGACGACCCGGCCTTCTGCCTGCAGCTGGACGGGGACACACCTGGACAGGTAACCTCCCAACAGAGCATGGCTTTGTTTGGTTCTGTCTTTCTGTCTAATTCAGTTAGTAAAAGTATCAGTATCAAATTACTATCAGTGGGAGAACTTTGAAACAATTGAGGGATTATATTACATCTAGATAACTATATTAACCTTGGCTCACTCACTTCACCTGTCCTCTCTGTTCTCTGTCCTTTCCAGGCTCCAGTTTACGCCCTGAAGAAGTCCCATAGCTACTTCACGCAGATCCAGGTCCAGCTGGCCGTCACAGGCCTGGACCGGGCCGACCTGGTCGTCTTCACTCTGAAGGAGACAGCCATTGTCCCCGTGTCCTTTGACCCCGACCTGTGGGACGAGACTGTGTCCAAGCTGGAGGTCTTCTACCGGGACGCCGTCCTCCCTCACCTCAGACAAAAAATGCAGCAGAACGCAGCCGCAGGGCCAGAACTGTAGAAACAGGAAGGTCCAAACAGAGGTGCTCTACTGGACACGTCTTGTCCTCTGAGGACGGATATGTTCTGGTTCTGAGGGGGGTAGAGGACGCGGGTCATTTTTTAAGCTACTGGTTCAGTTCAGATTAAACAAGTCGGATTTCTGAGGAACCCGATCTTCTAAGTCCAGTTTGTCCAACATCGTCCAACCAGAGACAGACAGAACCCTGAAGAGCTTCAGGATTAGAACCAATCCAAACGTTGCCAATTGGATCAGCTCACACTTCCTCATATTGGACCTTTTTCTGTAGTGGGTTCAGGGTTCCGAAAATAAATTAATTTTATATGAATTTGTCTGCATTTGTTGTCAATTGGGAGTTCTCCATGCAGCTTTCTACTAGAAAATGAAGGAAGCAAAAGCAGCAACGCTCCCCCAACACAGCAAGAACACACAGAGCTTACTCCAGAGTTAGCATGCTAACATTAGCATTAGCACCACATCTGTTTGGAGAATGAATATTCCACCACCTGTTGTTAGCACGTTAGCATAATCTTAATGTAAAAACTGTTTTTGGTTTTGTGTTGCGGTATTTATTTGTGCAGAAGTTAGAATGAACAGTTATTAGCTATTCGCTGTTAGCATGTCATGACGCGGCAGACCCGAGTTCGACTCCCGTTCTCGGTTCCTTTGCCTCCGTCTTCCTCCCTCTTCCTGTCGGAATAATGTTATATGAAGGCCACTATTAACGCCGAACAAAATCTTTAAAAGCCACTCGGGTATGAGCTACACATTAAACTTCCCTTTGGAATGAATGAAGTGTTTTTGAATTAAAATGAATGCAAGGTTGTTAGCTTGCTAGCATGTTAGCATACCAAAAAATTAACCAGATAATTACGAGTTGATTTTGGTCTTCCAGGTAAACTGAGACATGAAAGTTCGGGTCAATGATACAGAACCAACACCATCAGAAGACATGCAGAATTATCAGTATCTTTCCAACGGATAGACAGAGCTAAATCCACTCACCTGGATCAGCCTGTACCTGCCAACCTGTCCATGATTGCTTTTGAGAGGAGCTACATGGTCAGTTGTCCAGGGCGGCATCTTAAAGTGATGAGGCACCCATAAACTAGAAAATAACACAATGACACCTACCTCAGGGCCCAAATCATTTTTTGCCAAAAGTATCATTTAGATTAAATCATCTTTTGGCAATAAAAGGGTGGTGATTTTTTCGAATTTTTTTTTTAGCAAAAAAAAAAAAAAACAAAAAAAAAAAAACCAAAAAAAACAATTAATTTAGGAAGGTGACGTTAAACTTTAATTATCCTTTGAGCAAGTTGCTAGTACTCATATGCAGGTGAAGTGGAGAAAGTTCCCTTTAGTTTAATTTTCTGCTTTCTGCTACAAAAAAAAAAAGACATATCATTGTTTGTATTTGAACTGGCTGGAGTGCAGCAGAACCACAGCTGGTTCTGGTAAAACCGGGCTCATGGTGTGAAATGGATGTTCTGCTCCCTTTCACTCAGATGAAGAAGATGAACAGAAACTCAACTTCTTGGCATTATGTTTTATTTTCTGGTCCTTTAAATCTCATAAAATCTCAGACGTCTCAACAGGTTCTGTTTGACCCAACATTTAAACTCGAGTCGTTCCCAATCCAGAGTTCACTGGGACTGCACTAGGTGACCCCCAACAGCCAATCACCTTGCAGCACTTCGCCTGAGCAGAGGATGACAGTTCTGGTCCTCCATGTGCTCCGACTGCTTATTGGCTGCTTCTCCAGGATCCCTGGTGGGCGTGGTCAGTCGGCCAGGGCGGGGCCTCACAGATAGCCCTCCTTCTTGAACTGCTCCTGCAGGATGTCCCGGTACTCGTCAAAGCCGCCGTCGACCCGCCACACCTTCCCGCTGTCGCACACCCACAGCTCCTTACACACCAGGCGGATGAGGCGCTCGTCGTGAGACACGAGGATGACCCCGCCCTGTAGGGGGCGTCAGACAGGTGAGGGGCTCAGGTAAGACACTGGGTCAGAAGGAGGAGTGGACACACCCACCTTGAACTTGTTGAGCGCTTTGGCCAGAGCCTCGATGGTCTCCATGTCCAGGTGGTTGGTAGGCTCATCCAGGATGTAGAAGTTCGGACTGAAACACAGATAAACATGTCAAACTCGAGGTCTGGGGGGCCAAATCCGGCCCGCTGTCAGTTTTTATGTGGTCCTCTGGAGTCCAGAACAGGAATCTGATCCAAACAGTCAATTTTTCTCCAAGTCCAGAGAAATAAAAGTTGTTCATAGTCACAAATGTTACATGTTAATCAATTAATTGCATAATAAAATAATTTAAATTCTGATGATTAATATTTTTTGAATAGCAAGTTTGTCTATAGAAATGTCAATCAACTTTATTCACAGCTTAGGTTGTGTGTGTGTTTTATTCCCTTTTTGTTTAATATTTATTAATTATTATGATTCAAATTATTACTTGGTTGTTTAATGGTACAACTATGATAATGATAAAAGTGATGATAAAAACTGTTTTCTTCTTCTTTAGGTAACTCTGGTTGTGACTGCATGGCGCAACAACTAACAACAGCATTGGTGGCCCTGCAAACACCAATGCTGTTCTTGAAAAGAAGTTTAAAACGGTTCTTTAGGACACCAGTCACATAAAAAAGTGTAATTTTTATCACTAAATTTTAATCATATTTTCAAATTTATTGGTATGTTCTGATATTTCAATGAAAGAAACGTGTAGAAAATTGTAAAAGTAGCACTCCTGAGAACACAATGACAAATTCTTATGAGAAGAATGTGTTAAGATAAATGAGAAACTGAGATAAAAGCCACTCTGGTGGTTTCTGGATGGTAAAAACAACAAAGCACTTGTGTTTCCCAGCAGCCATTGTAGAGCGGTAAGAGGTGCTGGAGCTCTGCTGGGGTTGCTAAGTAACGGGCATTGCCTGCTGATTTGCTAGATTCCAGAGGTTTTTGAAACGGCTCATTTTCTAGACACCAAAATAGATTTTATTGCCAAAAACAGCTGTGTGTTTTTTTGTGTTTTTTTTATTTAGTGCGTGGGCTGTTTTTTTTTGTTTGTTTGTTTGTTTTTTTAGAAGCAGTAGAAAACCAAACGATAGTGCAAAACTGTGCAAAATGTGAGTGCGTTACCATGGCATGGTCATCTGGGCGAAGGCCACGCGGCTCTTCTGTCCCCCGGACAGGCTGGCCACCGGCCGCGTGGCCAGCTCCCCGGTGATCCCGTAACCTCCCAGCTGGTGCCGGTACTCCTCCTCTGTCCGACCTGTGGCACAAACACAGAGGCCAATCAGGGCTCGCCGCCCAGCCGTGGGTCCCGGGTCTGTTGTCACCATGGTTACCGGGAAACTTGTTGAGCAGCAACTCCACGGCACAGACATTCAGGTCCAGCTGGTCCACGTGATGCTGACTGAAGTAACCAATCTTCAAGTTCCTGACAAAGAGACGCCGGTTAAACACCAGCTGGAAAAAACCAAAGGCTGCCTCCAAATTTCATCTTGTAAAACTTTCCCCAGGTTCCTTAACCGCAGCATAAAAAGGCATCAAAAGTTCACGTATCAAATCACGAACAAGCCTTCATTAAATCAAAATGTTCTCCTGATCGAACGTAAAAATGATCAGAAAAAAAAGTTCTTCAGCTCAACAAGGAAAATTCCCTGATCTGAAAATGAAACTTCAAAAAAAAAAAAAAAAAAGTTTCTGTGATTGATCAGTAATATTTATCCAATCAAAACATCAAGGCTCCTATTTAAAAAGTAAAGGTTCCCCAACAAACCCTAAAGATACTGCAATCAAAACCTAAAGGTTTCTGATTATACAGATTTCTGATTAAACCTTTAATCAGAAACATTTCTTTAACTGTTAACAGGGATTATTATTTGCTCACAGCCAGTAAATCTGATTGGACACCAGGCAGCCTCACCTGTGAGCTTGTCTGATGCCACTGACCGGTGTCAAGTCGTCCATCAGCAGTTTGAGGATGGTACTTTTACCGGCACCATTTTCACCAACCTGCCAGCAAAGCCAGTTCAGAATAGGTGCTGCAAGTCTTGGACTAGGTGACTTTCTGATTAACTGATGATACGTACGATGCAGATGCGAGACTCGAGGTCAGCCGACAGGTTAAGTCCAGAGAAGAGCGGCTGATTTCGACTGTAGTAAAACTCTACTTCATCTAACTGAAGAATAGGGGGAGACAACTTCTCAAAGTTATCTGGAAACCTACAAGAAAACATGAATAAATGAATCCATAACCAGCAACATAAGTTCTGTGGTGGATCTTCCAGTTTGTGAAGGCCTGAGCTTCTTACTTCAAAGTGGTCTCCGTTTCTTTCTGAACTGGTTTTAGCTCTGGTCTGCAGGACACAACAAAAGTTATTGTCAGCAGGAAATGCAATGTAACTCCAGAAACAATAAACACAAAGCCCATGAAAAGCACAATGAGAAAAAGCATGAGGTCAGGATGGGAACTTACAGCTTTTCCAGGAGCTTGATCTTACTCTGGACCTGGGCAGCTCTGTTGGCATTGTACCGAAATCTGTCAATGAAAACCTGAAACACGAACACTTTACATGTTAGTTTGAACCCGGGGTCCCTTCAAGTTGTAGCCTGAGCCCGTGGCAGCCTCAGGAGTTAGCCTGAGATAATATGGAGTCTGGGATTACTTCATTTTATTCTGATCCCAGGATCATTTCAGGTATTAGCCTGAGCCCTGTAGTGTCTTGTAGTACCTGTATGTGTTGCCTGTACTGCAACTGAGCCTCATACTCTCGCTGCTGGTTCTTCAGGCGATCCTCTTTGGTCTTCAGGAAGTTCTCGTAGTCGCCACGGTAAGTGTCCAGTCTCTGTGAGTGCAGGTGGATGATGTCTGTCGCCACGGCATTCAGGAAGTTTCTGTCGTGGGAGACGACCAAGATGGTGGACTGCCACGTCTGAGGGGGACGAGTCATTCGGCTCACATTAGCTCACGGCTAATGACTCCATTGTTTCCTATGAATGATGCTATGGCTACAGACCTGCAGGTAGTTCTCCAGCCACAGAATGGCTCTGATGTCCAACATGTTGGTAGGCTCTGAAACGCATACAGTCATTAGAGGACTACCGAGAGGGCGGGGCTAGCTGAGGGCAGATCTGGCTGGGGCCGTTCTAGTTAAGGCAGGGTTAGATTGGGGTGTTCATAACTTACCGTCCAGCAGCAGCAGGTCAGGTCTGGTGAAGGAAACACAGACAGGTTAATCAGGGATCATGTGACCTGATGGAGAGGAAACGCTGGAAACTCACCGGGCGAAGAGCGCCCTGGCCAGCGCCAGCCTCATCCGCCATCCTCCAGAGAACTCCCTGCACACAGAGAACACACAGGTTCTGAACGGTCCACACACAGACACAGAGAACCAACATGTCTGACCGACACTCACTTGGTGGGCTGCTGTTGCATTCTGGGAGAAAACCCGAGACCGGCCAGGATGACTGAGGCTCTGATTGGACGATAAGATGGAGACAGGATGAAGAATCGTTCCAGTACCGGGCTTTGTGTAACTAATGTGTTGCCATAGTTACCGTGCCGGGGCCTTGTCGGCTTCGATCTCCTCCAGTTTGGCATAGATCTCCGACAGTCGCACGCTCTCCATCCCGTCGGCCCTGAAATGACGACAACCCAACCTCACAGTTCACGCTGAGACAAAATCGCCCGCTGCAACCCGAATGTTAGCCTGATCTTACGTTCCGTTGGCGATTCGTGCGTTGAGCCGCCGCTCCTCGTCCAGCAGGTCCTCGCGCTGCGTGTCACTTTCCAGCACACTCTGCAGTGCTATCGTGTCGTCTCCTGCCACTTCCTGCTCCACATGCAGGATGGAGATGTGGGCCGGCACTCGCAGGTTCCTGCTAGCTAGCATCTTCAGCAGCGTGGTCTTCCCCAGACCGTTCCGACCAATCAGACCATACCGCCGGCCAGACGCCATGGACAGCTCCGCCCCCTGCAGCAGACACCTGGGCACAACAACAACAACACATGGAATGAAGCACGATCATAAACTGCGCCGCCTGCTGGCTGTGATGAGGACGGTCCTCACCTCTCTCCAAAGGAAATGTCAAAGTTCTCAATTCGGATGTCGTAGCTGCGGTTCTTCCCTGACTGGTCGGCGCGGCTTTCCTTCTTATTACTGGCCTGACTGGCTGACGCCTCCTCCAGAACCCTTGGAGGACAGGTGAGTAAATGTGAAAAGACAGGTGAGAGAACAAGTGGGGAGAGGCAAGAATTCCAATCGTCATCCTCAGGTAAGAAGAAGAGACAGATGAGTAAATTTGAAAGAAGACAGGTAAGGACAGGTGTTGTTGCTCAGTGACTCACAGCGGACCGGTGGCTTTCTGAGTATCCCTCTCGGTCCTGCGCTCGTTCTTGGCTTTCAGCTTGGCTTCAGCTTTTTCCAGCTTCTTGGCATCAACCGTCTGGAGAGCAACAAGAACACAGAGACAGAAGGTCAGAGGTCATTAGAACCCATCTCTACAGCAGGCCAGAAGGAACACAGAGGCTGAGTTTGCTTTATGGTCAGTAAGAAAATATGAATGCAGACTCACTGTGTTCTGGGGACGTTTCATCATCCAGATTCCCTGGATGTCCTTGGCTGTTGAGACTGAGGAGAACCACACAGATCAACATCAGGCTGATAAAAACCGAAAAAGAACAACTAGACAAACCTGGGCGGCCATCTTAGTTAGAGCCGTCCGACATTACCAGAGTCCGCGGACATCTGAGAGAGCTGCACTGGAGCGTCCAGCAGCATCTGCTTCTGAGGATGACGATGGTTGTTCCTGAAGACAAACCCCACGTTTACCTCCTGATCATCATCATCACTGACAGACCAATCACATAGAGGGAGCTCACAGCTTCAGGGTGTTGAACATCTGCAGGCAGATGTCTCTGATGTCGTCCTCGTTTTTACTGTCAGCAGAAACGTCCTGCAGGACGCCACCGATGGCGTCAAACACCTCCTCGCCATCCTCGAAGTCGGGGCCACCACTGTCCAACACACCTGTAGCACATTACCATAGTTACACGCCAGTCTTCTGGCCCACATTTCCGGGTAGGGTAGAGAAATACGTTGGCATGGAAACCCTTTGGTTTTACATCTCCAAAGTGGCTCCTAGTAACACAGTGGTTCTAATTAAAGGAAGGTCTGGAAAAGGTTGACCTCTGACCCCACCAGCCACAGCATCTAATGAGAGTGGTCATAATGTTGTGCCAGAGTCATACTTTGCAAGTGAAGCTAACTTTAAATCAATCATGTGACAGAGAGTGCCTGGCACGTGCTGAGTCTGAGTAGAGCCCTGTTTGTAGTCCAACCTCATCTTCATCACTTACTTTCCTACAAACATGGCGCCCGGTTTCCTGCTGTTCTTAAGGGCCCCGAATGGCAGCTGCTATGGGTCTAATTCTGACCCGGATTTAGCCCGAGCCAGGCGTGGGTCGTCGCTCCCTGGGTGTCCCGGCTCTGGCTCAGTCACGTCGGGGAGTCGAGCCGCCAGAGAGCCGCGGCTGCCCGGCTCAGAGACGCACTAAAGGCCGCTGTGTGGGTACTAACCAGAGCCGGCGGCCGCTGCCTTCGTTCCCCCCTCCCGGCTCTAAGCGGCTATAAGCTGCCGGCACACAGCCACTCTTTCCCGGTGTCTCACCTGTGATGTAGTCGAAGAGCTCAGTGTCAATCTCAGGAAACTCTCTCTTCAGGATGTCCACGTACGTCGCCATGATACCCGGCCCTGGACACCACTGAAGTGCGCATGCGCCAGAATGCGACACCTCTCAGGATTATGGGTGATAGAGTCTATTGGTTCCGTGACGTCAGCGCGAGAAGACTCTCAAATTCAAATTCAAAAATACTTTATTAATCCTAGAGTTAGATCAAATATTACTTATATCATCCACATAATTTCTTCCAAACATTTGTTCCAGGTGCTGATAAATGTTAGCAGGTATGATCTAATGTAGCAGTCTGTATTACTGCAGATATGAAGAAGCCTCTGACTAGAGACACTGGTTTTTCTTTACAGCATAATGAAGAGGATGCTCGGGGTTTTGTTCTGTTTCTCATGCTTTTCAAAATGGAAAAGATTCCATAAAAATCTAATAAATATAAATTTAAAAATTAGATGTTCAAAGAAGCAAATGCTTCCGTGTGCCAGAAAAATTTAATAATTTTACTTTGATTGTTCCTAAACTTTCAACTTTGATCTTAAACAAGCCATTTGATCATAAATGTAATTTAATTATTTCATCATAATTGATAACTTTAGTACTTATAAATTATCTTAATGGTTTTTCCAACTTGGAAATTAGAATTTTAGAGTTCTCATTATAAATGGGAGTAGTGCTGTACTGTACTATTAGGAGTACTATACAGTACTCTTTATGATCAGTCTATAGTAATTATAAGTGCATGAATACACTAATATTTCTCCATAATCTGTGTTACTGTATGGTCATATTAGTAGTAATATACAGTAGTACTAATATTCACCCCATGGGGCAAGTATACAGCACTATTTTTGTCATTATGGAGTTTTGTGTTCATGTCAGTGGTATCGATAGTTATATCGATACCACTGACATGGTATCGATACCATGTCAGTGGTACAATAAAACAATACTTCTAAGTCTGTAGCACTGTATTATTTGGTATCAGTCTAATACTGTGGTAACGTTAGGAGTATGCAATAAGATTGGTGGTTTGTCTTTAGTACTGTATTAGTATTAGCATACAGTGGTATTTCCGCTCACTCTGTGGTACTGTGGTGGAATATAGAAATAATATGATCAGTCTGTAGTACTCTAGTTGTATCAAGAGTATTAATATTAGTTTATTTCAGTGATAAGTCTGTAATACTGTAGTTGTATTAATGAATGCATAGCAGGCTATAATTGTTGTGTATAGCATTTGTGGCTCGGCTGTAGTGCAGTATGTGTTAGTATACAGTGGTATTTATGGTCACTTTGTAGCACTGCATTAATTTTACAGTCAGCCTATAGGATTGTGTTAATGTTAGCAGTAGTACACAGCAGAGGTGGGGACTCGAGTCACATGACTTGGACTCGAGTCAAACTTGAGTCATTAAAATCAAGACTTGAGACTTGACTTGAAAAAATTCTCAAAGACTCGGACTTGACTTTGACTTTCACACCAGTGGTTTCTGGATGGTAATGCAGCACATTATTTTGTGTCTTGGTTAGTGATTCTGGCAAGCTTGATTTACGCAATGTTTTTGATGTGAAATTAGCTGTAGATTTAACCCCACTTGGACTGAAAAAAAAAAAAACGACTCGAAATGACTTGAAATTCCTGACATGAGACTTGACTCAACTTTTGCCCGACTTGAGACTTGACTTGACTGTCTTTACTTGAGACTTGACTCGGACGTGAGGACAACTCTGAGTCAAACTTCAGCTGTGTGAATCTCAAGAATAAACAAACTCCGATAGCAATTTGACCATTCAAAGCACTTTACACTACAGCCGTTTTTTGTCTCGCCTTTTTTTTCCCCCCGTTATTTTTAAATCCTGTTTTGAGACTTGCAAAACAGTGACTTGGTCCCACCTCTGGTACACATATAGTAGTATTTTGTACTACTATAATATTATAAAGCAGTATAATGGCATTTTGCATCAGTAGTATTAATAGCAGCACAATGAAATATTTATGAGTCTGCAGCACTCTAGTAGTATTAGTATATGGCTATTTGGGTTCAAACTACCACATTGTGGCTGTATTAGTGGCCTGTTAGTGTACAGTAATTTTGGTCACTCTGTAGCAACGCTGTAATTTACGGAAGTATCATGATTGGTCTGTGGTATTATACTTGTGTCTGTATAAATTCCTATTAGAGAATATAAGTATTTGGGGTCGGTCAATAGTACTGTGGCAGTATAGTACTCTATAAGTATAAGGTTATACAGAAATATGTGTAGTCCCTATGTAATAATGCATTAATATACAGCAGTAGTACTATGTAGTACTGGTAGAAGTACTTCTGGTCAGTTTTGCGCTTCTTCCTCGCGCTGCACTGCGCATGCTCCTCTCCACAGCAGCCGTTAGCATCGGGGGCTAACAGCCGGAGCGTGTAATGGCGGCCTCGGTGTTACTGGGGTCTGCGGAAAGCACCGGACTCAACTTCACGGTCGGAGCCGGTGGCAATGCTATCCTCGGAAACTCTAATGGACTAGGCCAGACGGGCCCAGCGTCCTGGAACCGCTCCCTGGACCGGGCGCTGGAAGAAGCCTCGGTTAGCGGCTGTCTGAACCTCAGCGGCAGGAAGCTGAAGGAGTTTCCCCGGAGCGCCGCCAACCACGACCTGACCGACACCGTCCGGGCCGGTAAGTGAGGTCCAAAAGCGGCCAGCAGATCCATAGAGTCCGACTGAGCTCTGTTGGGACTGCTGAGATGGTTTGGAGGGGTGTTTTAGGGGACTTCAACGGGGGAAAAGTTGAATCCAACTTCCAGTTCCAGAGGAGGAGGATGGAAAACAGAGAGGGCCGGTGTTGTGATAAACTGCGAGCCCCGGCTACATGAGGTCCGGCTTCCTCTTCTTGCAACGGCGTCACACCGCTCATTGGTCGCTAACCGCTCAGATCAGACAGAAAAGGGGATGTTTGGTTGTTTTTTCCAACAGGGTCAAAATTTTAAATAATCTCCGTCATGGAGGAACCTCTGCTAACTCTCCTTAGCACTGGTTACCAGTATTCCCAGTTAACACGACCGTATGACGCTGATATTATGACTGTTATAATTATAACTCGTTATAAACCTGCTCTGCTTCAGGCTGGTTTTTCTCAAGAAGGTGAGGCCGGGGGACGGACTGTTTATCAGGGGTAACAGATGATGACAGCACACCGGTGCGGCCCGGTTACACACAAACAGCCGGTTTTATTCTGCAGTCTCTGGTGATTCAGCTGGTCCGAGGTTCGGCTCGGATCAGACCCTGTAGGAAAGGTGAAGACACACCTGTGCGGCTTTGTTGTTTTGTTTTGAACGCCTATTGCTGGCTCCGCCCCTTTGGGACGGTGTGGACCAGGAAACAAGCACCCCCCTCAAAGAGCCAAATCAGCCGATTATTGATTAGGCATAAAACAGAATAACCAAATTATTATTTATTTTAATAATTTATAGACATGAAATGTGATCTATGAAGCTCCACTGAAGATGGGACAGATGGGGAGAAAAGGGAGCAAAAGATGATGAAATTGTAAGTAAAAATACAGGAGATTGATTACAATGTGCTTATTTTAGGGTTCAGTGTGGTCGGGGAGGGGCATAACGGAGAGCAGATGTAGGCTCCCTTTGTTTGTTTCGGACTGTGATGGAGGAGGAAACTCAGCAGGAACTCCATCATCTGCACTGCTTCATTTCTTCTTTTTTTTTATTTTATTCAATGTGTTTTCTGTTGAGTCTGGTTTTTGATTGTGTGCTGCTGGAAGGATTTTTGATCTTACTTTTTATACTTTCTGACAGTTGTTATGATGTGTAACCATGGCAACAAGGCGTTGCTTTCACAAACATGAGGGGCTGATTAGCATCTCAGAATTCTGAGATAACACCTGAACTACAACCCAAAATCCTGGAGATCATCTCTACTGCCCTGATATGGAGCTATTAGCATGCTATTACTATCTACAGTCAGACGCCTCTTCAGATTCGTTGCAAACTTGACTGCTGCTGGAGATTCTTCCTGCCCTCTATGAGTCTTTGAAAATAGTTGGATGATTCCACATGTAGCTTTCCTTCAGGATGAGTGAAGTGTTTCCACACAGGCCTTGATTGATCAGTTTAAAGCCTTATCTTCCATCAATGGTAATGTTGGACTGTTGGGTTACCATGGTAACCGATGCTGAACACACTGGTTGCCCTGAAGGAAGTTCTGCCTCTGGTTCTGTCTCTGCTATAAACAGGAGCACCTGGTTACCAGCTAACTGAGCACGCTCAGATCGCTCTCTGTTAACTGAGCACGCTCAGATCGCTCTCTGTTAATTGAGCACGCTCAGATCACCTTCCTAACCGCTCTGAGAGCAGCTGCTCTCTCTGCGGTTCCTGTCAGATCAAACTGAAACCCAATTCTGTGGTTTTGGTCTGTGGCTCACCACTCTCCCTCAACAGCGCAAACTACATTACCCAGAATTCCTGGTTGCAGCTTAATCTCTCCCAGAGTCTGAGACAAAGGCCTGGTGGCAAACAAAAAAAACAAACAGGAAGTCCCCCACGAACCACTTCCTGTTTGTGATGGTGGATTGATGAGCATCACCAGCTGCTGTTACAAACAAGGAAGCTGAGGTTACCATGGTGATGAGTGCTTCCTGTGGCCCTCACAGCTGCTCTGATAAATATAGCCTTTGTGGGTCAGCTCTGCATCGTGTCGCTGGCAGAGGAGTCAGCGATGGTGGGAGGAGAACAATGACAGCAGGAAGGAGTCCGGGTGATTCAACAGAATCACTTCTATTTAATCTGGAGTCAGAGAACCAGAACCATCTGATGATTAATCACCAGAACCAGCATCTAACTGAACTGTGTGTGTGTCCAGATCTGTCCCGGAACCGACTGTCAGAGCTTCCTCTGGAGGTCTGCCTCTTCGTGTCTCTGGAGTACCTAAACCTGTACCAGAACTGCCTGAGGTCTCTGCCAGACGGCCTGGTGAACCTGCAGGCCCTGACTCACCTGAACCTCAGGTCTCACACACACGCGCACACACACACACACACACACACACACACACGTCCACTGATTCTATACAAACTGAGGACTTTACATCTATTGTAAAGTTTGGGGTTTT